AAACATGTAAAATGAAAATGAGTTTTGTGTCAACTACAACAAAATGGTTGCCCATGCTTTGTCAAAATATTGTACACACTTAATTTCTTCACATATAGAAAGCAGACATCTTGAGGAATTCAGAAATATATCATATGTTGGGTTACCTTTTCGAAATTCATAACAAGAATGAGATCACAAGATAGAATTACAAAAACTGTTCCAATATACCTGAATTCACCCTATAGCTTTCGGGGGAGCTCTTTTTTTTCCCCAGGAGGGAAGAGGGGAGGGAGGATGAGGGGGGCAGACTGTGATTCTTACTGCTGAATCATGAATAACTGCAAGCATGTAGACTAGTCCCTGCGTAAAGGTCTCCACCTTGTACCATGATAAATAAGTATTTATGGTCATTCTGTTGTGTTCGTTACATAGTGGGTGATGCACAAGTGATTCTTATGTTTATTGCTAATTTTGTGAAAATTACTAAAACCACTTTATAAGCACTTCATAGAGTGCTTGCTCTCTCTTTTACTTCTTAATCCTTCTGCTTCTTCCCTGTTCTTCTGGGCAGAACTTTGGAACATTTTATACATAAAAAACTTTGATTTACTGCTGTTAAAACTGAAGACTGAAAACATATTCATCTTCCCCCTTTTTAATTTCATGTCTCCCCACCATAATTTAAACAATGTTTAGACATATTAACCATTCACGCGGAACAACGAGTTCAACAGTTCAAATGTTTGCTGTAGCACCTCAAACATTTTTTAATGTCCCGCCCCATCCAGGCTGTGATTGGTCAGTTCACAAAAGTGACTTTGACAAGCAACTTCATGCACACAGCTGCATGAAGGTGTAGCAAACCTACCAAAGTTATGAATATTAATATTTGGAAATATTATCATTTTCACTTGTTTTGAGGGCACCACCTAAAATTTGCTGTCTGCCCAAGGCTTTAGGACTCCTTGGGTATAGCTTTAATAATTACACAATTATTCACTACTAACTTTCTAAATTCTGCCCTCTCAAGGAGAAAAGAAAGGACAGGTCGCAAAAAACACAGCTGTTGTGTGAAGCGTAATTGTAGCAAAATGGCAACATAATAATAATAAGTTTTTGTTGTTGTTGTTGTTCAGCAGTAGCCTAAGAATCAAAGCCTCTTTTCTCTTAAAAAAAGAGCTCCCCCGAAACCTACGGTAAATAGTTCAGACAGTGTCAGACAGCCGCCTCAGGCTCCGCAGGAGGAGTTAGAGAGAAACTGACGATTTTCCAACTTATCCTGTGAACCAAACCTCCTCGGGAACAGCATCAGTAGCCGGAGTCACAGGGTTCATCTGATCTCGCTCTCTGAAACAGAAAACCCAGAGTTTCCCTCATCTCAGGCTTCATACACTCAAAATTTTCACTAATCACGCGCTTTCTGAAAAGGGGCCCTGATGGAAGCGCGTGCGTGGGGATGAAAAAAAAAAAGCCATGCGCAATGGAGCTCCGATACTACAATTCACCATGGCAACGGGTAAATGAAGGCAGAGCCTCCGTTTTAATCGGGTGGATCTATAAGTATGTGTGTCAACGCGGATCATGATAGGCTATTTATGCTATGTTAAAAGGCAGGAGTGGAGGAAGAATCAATACATTTACAATATTAGCCTATATTTTATACAGCGTTGCTCATCCAAGTGCTGGAATTCTCCTTTAGGCCATTACATTCATTTGAAATAGCCTATTTATTCAGCTGTAACCTGACGGGACAAAATGCCAGTGGCAATAACTGAAGATGAAAATATTAATTGAACAGATTAGACATAGTTTAGGCCAGTGTGTGAAATATACCATAGGGTGTATTCAGGTATATTGGGACATTTGGGACAGCATAAGAAAACAGAATTTTACTTCTCCCCTAAAAAGTTTTAGTCAAAGTAATTGGTGCTTAGACCTTGCACATAACAAAAATCACAAAACATAATTTATGTCAGACATACAGATAAATCAATAAAATAAACATTTGACAACATGTTGGAGTCTTTAATCATTTCAACATCTTAATCAATAGTCTAGACTGATGACATTGGTTGAAGTAATAATAAATACAGCTATCACAACAAATGATAGGTGAATACATAATATCAAGTAACCTTAGACATTTTATTCTATTTAATTTTATTTATGGTTAAGAAATAGGTTTGAAATGCTTTTTGAATATTTCAAAAAGCATTTCAAATAGGATTAATAGCAAGGGCATACACTAATAAACTGTAACTGTGTCCCAAATTACCAAACATGTAAAATGAAAATGAGTTTTGTGTCAACTACAACAAAATGGTTGCCCATGCTTTGTCAAAATATTGTACACACTTAATTTCTTCACATATAGAAAGCAGACATCTTGAGGAATTCAGAAATATATCATATGTTGGGTTACCTTTTCGAAATTCATAACAAGAATGAGATCACAAGATAGAATTACAAAAACTGTTCCAATATACCTGAATTCACCCTATAGCTTTCGGGGGAGCTCTTTTTTTTCCCCAGGAGGGAAGAGGGGAGGGAGGATGAGGGGGGCAGACTGTGATTCTTACTGCTGAATCATGAATAACTGCAAGCATGTAGACTAGTCCCTGCGTAAAGGTCTCCACCTTGTACCATGATAAATAAGTATTTATGGTCATTCTGTTGTGTTCGTTACATAGTGGGTGATGCACAAGTGATTCTTATGTTTATTGCTAATTTTGTGAAAATTACTAAAACCACTTTATAAGCACTTCATAGAGTGCTTGCTCTCTCTTTTACTTCTTAATCCTTCTGCTTCTTCCCTGTTCTTCTGGGCAGAACTTTGGAACATTTTATACATAAAAAACTTTGATTTACTGCTGTTAAAACTGAAGACTGAAAACATATTCATCTTCCCCCTTTTTAATTTCATGTCTCCCCACCATAATTTAAACAATGTTTAGACATATTAACCATTCACGCGGAACAACGAGTTCAACAGTTCAAATGTTTGCTGTAGCACCTCAAACATTTTTTAATGTCCCGCCCCATCCAGGCTGTGATTGGTCAGTTCACAAAAGTGACTTTGACAAGCAACTTCATGCACACAGCTGCATGAAGGTGTAGCAAACCTACCAAAGTTATGAATATTAATATTTGGAAATATTATCATTTTCACTTGTTTTGAGGGCACCACCTAAAATTTGCTGTCTGCCCAAGGCTTTAGGACTCCTTGGGTATAGCTTTAATAATTACACAATTATTCACTAGTGATCAGTTAGTCAACAATTGCTAATCATTTTGAGTCAGTTTAATCAGCCAGTCTCATATCAAAGTCGTGAATCCTCCGTCCAGTGACCTGGATTTAAACAGTACACAACACAGTTCCTGTGATTAAGGTGAAATTTATTAACTAACTAAAGTGAATACACAGTGAGGTTAAATATATCAAAGACATATGTGGTGTCCAAACAATAATGCTGCGATGATGTGTTGAGAAGAAATCCGCTTGACACTGTTCTTGATCATAAAAGTTTATTACATCAAGGAGTTCAGCATCAATTACAAGCTCTGCAGCAGCTTGGAGAGTGACCCAGCCCGATGGCCTCTCTGTCTCTCTGTACATCAAACATAGCTTATATAGGACATGTTTAGGTATCTGTTGTTAGGTACCAGAGATGGGTGTAAGTCTGCAAAGTAAAAGGTCAAACCCATAGAATGGTACAGTACTATTCTGAGGTAACAAAACAAGGGGTGTCCTTGGATAAGTCAGATTGTGGTTGAAGAAAACTTGCAGTGACAGGCCGTTCGTCTGGCTTAGTTCGTTGGTTGATGTCCTCGGTGTTACAGTTAGTGTAAGTAACTTACGTGGCTGGTTCCGAACTTTGCTGGGAGCGGCGGAAGTTAATTCCAAGGAAATAAAGCTTAAAAGGGAACTTGGTTGTTCTTGAATTCAAAGTTGCATGGCCTAAACGGTCTGATAACTCTTAACAAACAAAACAAAAGAAAGTAAATTCAACGAAGGTTCGCGTGAATATGGCTAAGTACGTTGGCGTTGCTTGGACACGGAGCACAAGACACGGTGCTGAGTGCAAGCATGCCGAGAAATGAGCGAAGAGAAGAGAGAAGAAGCAGCTCATGGCACTGTGTTTTAGTTGCCTGTGGCGTGTCTCCAGGGAGAGGGCTTGGTTACCTCTGATTTCTGTGTCCTAACTTTAATATGTTCTTAAACTCTATTTGTGTGTTTTTAATCAAACTCCTTTCCACAGTCAACTCTTGTAAAGTTCTTAGTTTTAAGCATTTGATAAAAGTAAAAGTAAGTAGTTATCAGTTTAATTTAATAATTTATTTAATAAGCTTCTTTATTTATTTACCTTTGTAATAATTACTTTATTTATTTATTGTCAGTTATAATCTTCAACTTTATTTATTAATTACTTATTTTTTAAGTGTTTATTTATGTATGTGTTTTAATATTTTTGTCAGTTTTATTCTTCCTTTGCATTTCTACCCTATTTATTTCCACAATGGTTATATATTTCTGCCTGCTAAATTTCTCTATTAATTAATTAATCAGCAGTTTGCTCATTCCGAGTATTATTGAAACTGTGTAGCTTTGTCAGGGAATTCCAACAATTCTGGACCTAATAATAATTTGAAATGATACTGTGACTTCTAGCAGTGTTTTATTTCTTTGACAATTACTTGTACTTGTAATCCATGGCAACCTCAGATTACCAGGGAGTCTGTAAATGAGTGCGAATGAGTACCCTACATTCATCCACTTGCACTGGTACACTTATTCAAGTCACTTACTACTCAGTTTTATAGTGGTTGGGGGTAATATTACAGTATGTACACATCTTTAAGAGGACTGCAAGGATGGTGTATTGGTGAGTGGTGTCCCAACAGATTGTGGGGGGCCGCCTGGGCCAAATATGCAGGGGATGATTTTTTTGGTCCCAGTCCAGCCCTGACGCTTCCGGGTATGTCCTCATGGGCAGTATCAGTTTAAAAAGACATTGAGTTCTCTCAATTCTTCATTATTACATCTCCTGCAGGGGACTCAACAGCTGAGAGCTTATTCTCTGACTGAACAACTAAAATGGCATTAAATGGTAAAATTGCAGTAGTGACCGGAGCAGCGCAGGGAATAGGAAAAGCAATGACTGAGATGCTCTTGCAAAACGGTGCCAAGGTAAAGTGGAATCTAAGTAGCCTATATTTTCTGAAGTACTGTACTTAAATTTACCTTTGAGGCAGGCTACTTGCAGGCTATTGTACTTGAGTATTTCGATGCTATGCTACTTTAAAGATCCACTCCACTAATTATTTATAGGGAAATATTGTGCTTTTAACTCTACTACGTTTATTTAACAGCTACAGTTATTAGTTGTTTTCAGTGGTGGAAGAAGTATTTAAATCATGGCTCTAAGTAAAGCCTTAAGTAAAAGTGGCAGTACTACAGCATAAAGTCCTGAATTCAAAATATAAATTAAGTGAAAGAACAGAAGTATTAGCAACAAAATGTACAAGTTTTTAAAGTAAAAGTACTCATAATGCAGAGTTGATAGTGTCAGTGTTATACTATTACATTATTTGATTGAAAAGTTAAATATTTCTCTCTGAAATGTAGTAGAGTAGAAGTATAATGTAGCATAAAATATAAATGTTCAAGCACAATAGACTGCAAGTACCTTGGAGGTGAATTTAAGTACATGTACTTTTCACCCCATTAAAATCAATAAAGGTAGAATAAATATAAGATATGATTAGATAAGCCTTTTTTTGATTTATTGATTGTTTTTTCAGCAGCACAAGGACATAAATAAGTACAGATAACTAGTGAAAAGTTAAACAAAACAATGTAAAAAAATATTTTTACGAGGAAACTGAGTGTGTCATGAGTATATGTCATGGCCCTTCACCTGTACAGGTAGCCCTCTTGGATGTGAATGAAACTGAAGGAAAGAAATTAATGGAAGCCCTCAAAAGAGAGTACGGACTGGAGAGAACTTTGTTCCACATCTGTGATGTTGAATCAGAGGAGCAGATCAAAGGTAACATGCACAACAAATAAAGTAGACAAGTGGGGGAGGTGCTGAAGAGCCTGGAAATGCATGAAGCTAATCAATCACACCAGGACTTTAGTCTACATTCCATGAAGTTAATTAATAAAAATTTCATGTCAGTAACTGTTACTGCTGCAATAAACTATTAGTCTTTTTTTTTTTTAATGATTTATTTATCTATAAAAAAGTCTTTAAAAAATGTCTTGACTGATTCATGGATTATCAATATTGTTACCATATAAATATTCAGACGATGGACTAATTCATCAACTGACTTATCATACTCATCAAAAGGTTCTGCAACTGTCTAAGCATATGTATATAGGGGTTCTTGGTTATGAAAAGTTAACCACTAACAGTTTTTTCTTCTCTCAAGCTGCCTTTCAGAAAACTGCTGAAACCTTCGGAGGAATAGACATCCTGTGCAATAATGCTGGCATTGCGAATGAGACTGCGTGGGAGAAAACTGTCTCCATAAACCTTGTAAGAAGTGAAAAAGAGTAACAAACCACCTCTGGTGGGGATTATGATCATTACTTGTACTCGGCTGCACCACTCCCACAAGGGAAATTACACCACAACACACTGTATTTGTGTATGCAGTGTTTCATGAATTATATCTTCCATCACTGCAAGCAAGAACATTTTGTATTTGTTAAATTTTACATTCATCTTCCTGTGTTTCATTTCACAACATTTAGTACTCAAAGGACGACCTGCAGTGGCCGTCACTGTGTTTATGAACAAAAAAGAGATTTCTACTGTCAACACCAAAAACAAACATTCTGTGTTGTAGGTGGGGGTTATCAGGGGGACTTACCTGGCTCTGGAGCACATGAGCAAGTTGAGTGGAGGTCGGGGAGGGATCATCGTCAACACTGCATCCATTACAGGTAAAGCCCACCATGTACTGCAGATGTGTTTGTTTTTATAAATAATAAAAAAACAGCATCATTTTAATTCATTAAGAAAAAATGGCACACCGACATTTTCTTTACATATTCTAAAAAGCTGACACACATTGCAGTAAATTTGACAATTACCTCATAACTTTGAAAATTTAAAAACTGCCCCCCATCTCGTGGCACCCACACTCCAGAGCCTAGCTGGAATAGTTATCACTGTACTTGCAACTTGACACTGATTAAAATCACTGGTTTTGTAAACCCACCTGAAACACTACTGGATTCCTCTCACTATCATCAGACATATTGATCCAAAATTTACAGCGGACTGTGATAAAATCAAGAATGCCTCACTGGATGCAACTATGTTTTATAAATAAACATTATTATATAGCTATAGCAGCTAATAATATATCCATCCATCCATCCATCCATCGTCAACCGCTTATCCTGCGTACAGGGTCGCGGGGGCTAATAATATATATATAATAATATATTAATAATATATTTTATATATTATCAGCTGAGATAGATTCTCAGAAATTATACAAAGAAGTCAGATGGAAAGAAATGCACACCAACATCAAACAGCCAATATCATGAATAAACAACATCTAAGATTATATATAGAATAGTAAGATTTAAACACTAATCACTTTTACAGCAAACCGATGGGAAATGCCACCAGGTTTGGAAATTGCTGCATGAAAATAAGAGACAAAGTAGACACATTTTGTACATCTCTGTTTTGACAACCCAAAATGTGAAACTTAATATTGACTTGTAAAACCTACATCCTGCAGGTCTCAGTCCTGTATTAAGCTTTCCTGTCTACACGGCCACCAAGCACGGAGTGGTCGGCTTCACTCGAGCCATGGCGGTAAAGAAGGTTTTCTTATGATGAAAGCAAAAGAGATGAAGAAACTAGTTTACTGGAATAATATATATCCAGTAATTAACGAGATTCACACAGATTTTTCATTCTAGTGCTTGTACTATATGTGCCTCCAAACAGTTGAAGCTTAATTGTGTGTATGTGTGTGTCTGTTACTAGGCTGCCTCTGCTGCATCAGGCTATGGTATACGGGTCAACGCCCTTTGCCCGGGTTGCGTCCAAACTGACCTCTTCTCTACCAGTATATCCAATCTGGGGCTATATTCCCACCTGGCTGATGAAACCCAAAAATTAGTTGAAAAGCTTGGGATGTTAACGTGAGTCTAACGCTAAAAACATTTTGCTCAGTGCTCCATTAAATATTAAATCTCTGTTTCTCTGTCTGTCTCAGGTTAACCTTAGGTGCTTACCTTAGGTCACTGTACCTTTTTATTTCAGTGCATCTGAGGTAGCAAACTGCCTCCTTGAGCTGGTGACAGATGAGACGAAGAATGGAGAGGCCCTCATTGTGTTGCCAAAAGGAAGGAAATACATGACCTTTCCATCATTCACCGAGTAGCTCTTGACAATGACAAACCACAACGCCATCATACAGAATCAACTGTTACACTAAATCTTGTCATCAAAATTGCAATGTCTCTCAGTGCTGTAATGCGCAAAATACAAAAGTGTGTAAGATTTGGGGGTTAGAGGCAGAAATTGAATAAAATATTCATAAGTATGTTTTCTTAATGTATAATCATCATAGACTGTATAAAAGAAGTCGACATTGTCACCGTGACATCAACCATTGGTTTGTTGATGACCATTTTGAAGCCTCAAGTTTGGTATATTGGCCGTCGCCATCTTGTTTTTTTGGAAACAGAAGTGACCATATTTGGCCAAGACGGTGGATCTGGGGAGGCATACACTGCTTCGCACATAAAGTCACCGTAGTAGCGATTTGTCAATCAGAAAGTAGCCACGCCCTAAAACAAACTCGGATTTATCGTCTATTTTCCCTTAAATGGGACCGTAATTTAAAAAACATCATGCTGTATCGAAGAAGACTGGGAAATAACCATTGACACCATAAACTCATTAGGAAAGTGTTTATTGAGGTAATTAATCAAGTGAGAAGTAGGGTCATTTTCTCACTGGCTACATTGCAATAGGACTTCCTTATGCAGTCAGTGGATGCCTTTAACCTGCATTCTTAGAAAGAATCCAAGTTAAAGGCATTTCTGCATTGGCTTCAGTTTTAGACCCTGAAGTTCCTGCTTGATAATCACCTGAATTCCTCTCACTGAATGACCTCCTAGATCCGTATCAGTCTGGTTTGAAGAGGGGTCACTCTACTGAAACTGCTCTGTTGTCTGTGACAGAAGCCCTAAGGTCAGCTAAAGTTGCAGTCCAGTCCTCGGTTCTTATCCTGCTTGACATATCTGCTGCCTTTAACACAGTCAATCACAGGATCCCGCTATCTGCACTCTTGGCAAGCGTCATCTCGGGCAAAGCATTCCTGTGGTTGTCCTACCTCTCTGGTCGTCCTACTATGTGTTGTGGCAAGGACATTTGTTCTCCTCTCACTCCCTTTCCACAGTGAGAGAGAGAAGGGGCCCTATAGCGCCGAGCCTTGGGGCGACTTCTCCTCTCAATTTACATCATCTCACCGGGGCCGATCATTCACTCACATGGCTTCTCTCACCACTGCTATGCAGACAATACGCAACTCTACTTATCCTTCCCAGCAGACGACCCCACCATGTCTGTCAGACATATCTGCATGGATAAAGGCTCGATTATTGCAATGTCCTCCTAGCGGGTCTTCCAGCTTGTGTGGTGAATACACTACTAATGGTTCAAAACGCAGTAGCGTGTCTGGTTTTTGATCAGCCCAAAAGAACTCATGTCACTCCATTACTCAGCGACCTCCACTTGCTACTTGCCACCCAAATCAAATTCAAGTCACTAATGCTGCATACAGAGTGACTACTGGGTCTGCACCCATCTACCTAAACTCCATAATACAAGCTTCCGTCCCTTCTCAGCCACTGCACTCCTCCAACAAACGCCGTCTGGCTCTGCCATCCCTCCACACAAACCAATCTCAGTCCCGGCTGTCCTCATCTGTGACACCACAATGGTGGAACGTGCTACCACACGCCATCAGAGCAGGGTTGTCCTTCTCTAACTTCAAGAAGCTCTTGAAAACTCATCTCTTCTGAGAACACTTCTGAGAAAGGGCTTTGTTCTTTCTGATGAAAGTTGCTTAGTTTCAGCTCTTTAGCTCATGCCAACGAGTAAAAGCCAGTCTGATATTTACTCTTGACCCAAGTTCTGGTCAGTCTCTCATTTTCTCTTCCTCGCTTTCTCCGACAACTTCTTCTTCGGTCTCCTCACATCCTCTGACATGATATATGTAAGTTCTTTGCTGAGACTACCAAGCTAGCTTGCCGTAATTCATTATGGAGCTGAAGCGTAAGGTTTTTGTGCACATTACGTAGTCCATAATCCAGAATCTTAATTTGTGTAATGACTATTTGGTGTGACTATTTAATAGACAAATGTGTTAAGGACGTGCACACATTGACATGATTATTTTTATCAAGTCGTTTTAACATTTATTCCTTAAAACGTACTAGTCGCTATTTAAAAGCTACTAGTACTTATTCGTAAGTTACTAGTAACTATTCTATTAGCTACTAGTAACTATTCCCTTTTAACTAGTAACAATTAATTAGATACTAGTAAAATGAAGTACTAGTAACAATTTTTAGTAACTAGTAAGTAATCCTTTAGTTATGAGTAACAATTTTTCTGTTGCTAGTAACTAATTGAAGAATTTTGCTATTGAAATCAATGAGGCTTTGTAGTTCAGATATCACCAACTTATTAGTTCCTAGTTACTATTTGAATAGTTACTACTAAAAATTTCCATTTTACTATTCATTAGTTACTAGTACATATTTAAATAGTAACTGGTAGCATTATAATTCTTACTAGTAAATTTTCTTCGGTTACTAATACTCCTACAAAACAGTGCCAAGGTAAAGTGCTGGAGAAAAGTACATTTTCTCAAGAACTGAAATTAAATTCACCTTTGAGGTACTTGCAGGGTATTGTTTAAACAATATCTCACGACATGCAATGGTATACGTTTATTATATCACAGTTAAGGGAGTTGCCGGCCCAACGCGAAGTGGAGGGGCAAACACCAAGTGAGCTATTGCTTTTATAAAACGGTTACCAAGTATGGCAAAAAGAAAGTAGGCTAACAGACGCACTACAATTTGACTTTATTTGCTAAGCAACATACATCCAAGGCTAGAATTATTAGAACTATTTATTTATATCTATTTGCACGTTGCTACAGAAGCCCTAAGCGGCCATCGATTCAATTTTTTTTTTTTTTCGTTTTCCCGTGATAACGGGATAACGAGCCATAGCTGAATACAGGAGTCAGCAGGTGCGTTTCTTCATGATAATTTTGTGGTAATTTGCTGAGTCAGTAGTTAGCTCAGTTGGTAGAGCGCAAAGGTTTTCAAAGGTTTTGAAATAGCAGTCAGGAAATGTGTAGTTAAATAGATTCCCCTGAATGAGAAGCGGATGAATTTCCTCTGCCTGGGAATGATGGGGAAATGAAAAGTCCATAGGTTGATGAATGTGGACCAACTGCCGGGATGCGCACACTCCAGCACGTGCTTAATTGTGAGCATGTGAATCAGTCATCTTCATAACAACTATGTTGGAGATGAATATGGAAAAGATAAAAAAAAAAAAATTAAAAATCTTCCATGAGGCTCAAACTCACAATATTAAGACCAGAAGTCCTGTACCTTACCAACTGAGCTAATCAGTGACACTAAAAGCATCTCGAAATTACCATTAAGAAACGTGTGAAACTACTGTTACGTTATCTCAAGATCACAAGATAATTATCCCGTTATCAAAGGAAAATGTAGTAAAATAGAAATATGAATCGATGGCCGCTTAGGGCTTCTGTACATTGCCGTTTGTTGTGCAGCCACAAAAAACTGTCCAGCGTCAGTATACTGACTTTGGTAACTTGAACTTATATGATATGCTTGCTACTGTGTGCTGGCGGCCAGCAGTGAGACCCCCACGAAGCTCAGATTATAACTCGAACCCTGTTTGTCGCAGAGTGATACGGATCTGTGCAAAGGAATTCGACGTCATACCCGTTGTATGCGCTCACTACTATGAACCAATCAGATTGCTTGAGTGGTGGTCGGGGAGGGGTCATCATCAACACTGCATCCATGCCAGGTAAAGCCCACCATGTACTGCATATGTGTTTGTTTGTTTTTCCCAATAAAAGAAAAGAACATTAACAAAAAATGTAGCACAGAGACATTTTTTATTCTAAAAATTTATTTTATATATTCTTTTTTATTCTATTCTAACACTTTGAAGTAAATTTGGATTTGGATGCAGGCATCTTGACACCATTGATCACATCATGTTGTGCACTCTGGTACAGCTTTAGAATGGTTTTCATCCTACCAATCCAATTAGGAGGTTCTGTGTCTCTGTAAATAACTATGTCTCTTCATTCTGTTCAGTTAATTATGGTGTGCCTCAGGGGTCGGTCTTGTCTTCCTCTTGTCGGTCTTTATTTTCCTTACGAATGCTTCCTCTTGGACACATTATCCAGAAACATAGTGTCTCTTTTCATATTTATGCTGATGACGCACATATGTATCTGCCCATCAAATCCACAGACCCTGGAATGCTGAGTTCACTTACTTAAAATACTGCCATCTGCTGGTTCCCTCGTGAATTATAATCTTGCCATCTGGTTTGACAGTAATGGTCAGTAATGGTTTTGAGCAGCACACCACAAAGCTTATGCAATCATGTTTTTACCAGCTTAGAAGTATATCAAAAATATAATCTTTAGCCACTTTTCCACTGCAGGTACTTTTTTTCGTATCACCTCCATCGAGGTTCCAAGCGAGCTGAGGCGAAACTAAAATGTGACGTGAAAACATGGGAGAATCGTCAGTATTCACTGCATCATCATTGCGCACGCCAGACAGAGGCCAGCAACAGAAAGCTTTACATTTTACAGTTTTCATATGTAATTTCATCACTAAAACCTTTATATCATCACGCCTGGATTACTGCAACAGCCTTTTTACTTGCTTGACCCAAACATTTATTGATCGACTCCAGACTGTGCAGAACTTGGCTGCCAGGCTTTTGGCCAGAACAAAAATATATGATCACATCACCTATATTTTACACTGACCAAAAAAATAAACGCAACACTTTTGTTTTTGCCCCTATTCATCATGAGCTGAACTCAAAGAACTAAGACTTCCTCTATGTACACAAAAGGCCTATTTCTCTCAAATATTGTTCACTAATCTGTCAAAATCTGTGTAAGTGAGCACTTTTCCTTTGCTGAGATAATCCATCCACCTCACAGGTGCGGCATATCAGGATGCTGATCAGACAGCATGGGTACTGCACAGGTGTTCCTTAGGCTGGCCAAAATAAAAGGCCACTCAAAAACAATTTCAGCACAATGCCACAGATGTCGCAAGTATTGAAGGACCGTGCAATTGGCATGCCGACTGCAGGAATGTCCACAAGAGCTGTCGGCTGTGAATTGAATGTTTATTTCTCTACCATAAGCCGTCTACAAAGGCATTTCAGAGAATTTGGTGTAACCACGTGTAACCACATCAGCCCAGGACCTCCACATCCAGCATCTTCACCTCCAAGATCGTCTGAGGCCAGCCACCCGGACAGCTGCTGCAACAATTGGTTTGCATAACCAAAGAATTTCTGCACAAACTGTCAGGAACCGTCTCAGAGAAGCTCATCTGCATGCTCGTCGTCCTCATCGGGGTCTTGATCTGACTGCAACTTCGCACAGCCATTGAAGAGGAGTGGACCAACATTCCACAGGCCACAATCAACAACCTGACCAACTCCATGTGAAGGAGATGTGTTGCACTGAATGAGGCAAATGGTGGTCACACCAGATACTGACTGGTTTCCTTTTTTCTTTTAGTGATTGTTTACGTTGTGCCTCTGAACAGTTGAAGCTTAATTGTTGTATTTGTGTGTCTGTTACTAGGCTGCCTCTACTGCATCAGACTACGGCATACGGGTCAATGCCCGTTGTGTCCAAACTAACCTCCTCTCTACCATTCCTTCCAGGCCGGGGCCATACTCCCACCTGGCTGATGCAGCCCAACAATTAGTAGAAAAGTTTGGGATATTAACCTGAGATAAAGATAACATCAACAAAAAATCTGCTCTAGTACATGCAGCCCAGTCTCAACAGGAGTAAAGTTCGAATAGGATAATTTGGTTTTGAAGAATTGTCCAATCTGTGTTCTTGTCTGGCGATAGGATTGGGAAATTTGACTCCAGCTATGTCTTCCAAGTGTGTGTGTGAGTGTGTTGCCTCTGATCTGCTCCTCTGATTCAACATCACAGTTTAGGAACAGAGTTCTCTCTTGGCCGTACTGTTTGTCGAATGCTTTCAGACTCTTCCCTGGAGTTGCTATATATTGCTATACAGGAGAGCTACCTGTCAAGGTGAAGGTCTGTCAGAGAACTACAATGGACATCTCTTCATTCGTTCTTTTCAAGGCTGCATTTTTGGACTGTTTCCATAGATGGGATAAAATGCAATACTGAACTGTCAGCATTTATTGACTCCTGTGGCTAGACTTTGTTTTAGTGCAGCTTGCGTTTTGGGACAGCATAATAAAACAGCATTTTACTTCTGCACTGAAAAGTGTAAGTTATAGCTGTTGTACTGGTGTTAAGACCTTGCTCTGAATGTACATGACATAATTCATGTGTCATCACATCTGCATCAAACCGTGTTTTAACCCAAAAAAGGAAGAGTTAACAGACAAGGCAAATGCTTTAGCTTGATTTTAATACAAGGGTATAAAATCTGATGACTAATATATATACTGTGGATATGACAAACCATGTATGGTGTACTAGTGTACCAAAATAAAAATATGTGGTTTTGAAATTATGTTTAAATTTTCTTTCTGTACCAAATTACACAACATGGGGTGGTAATGTGGGACAGCATGTTCCAGGTAAATTGGGACAGTGTTAAAAGGCTGTTAAAATGAAATGTCATCATTAGTGTGGATTCATATAACCTGAATGTCAACACAGAACCACAGAGATGTAGCCTACAGTGAACTTGTAAGTAGACAGAGTTAGATGCTAATGATGTGAATACCCCATATTATGTGTAGAAGGCCTTATAATTTGGTCAAATTCCAATAATCTTCCGACAATGACAAACAATAAAGCAACTGTTTAGTATGCTTAGTGTGCCATAACAAATAATTCAGTCTAATCTAGCAGCAATGATGATGCATGGAGGTGTAGCCTACTCACTTTGTTTAATCTGTGGTTATATTCTTAACCATGATGATTTTAAGGTCTGTTGCAGAATATAATGGCACCGAAGAAACAGACAAATAAATAAAATAAATATTTTTGAAAAAAAGTTGGAGTCTTAAATAATTTTAACATCTGGATCAATAGTTTGCCTTAGTTATCATAACAAATCATAGGCTAATATCAAATAACCTTAGACATGTATTTAATTTAATTTAATTTATGGTTAAGAAAAAGTTTAAAATACTTTTTTAAATATGTCATTAGAGTTGACTCCTGCATCCTTTATTGTATAAGTACGCACATCGTGAGCAATGTACAATCCTGAGTCAAATTCAATCGTATGTGGACACATACCTGGCAATAAAGCCGATTCTGATTAAAAGCAAGAGCCTACACTGTGTTCCAAATTACTAAACACATTAGTGGAAATTAGTTTTGTCTCAATTACAACAAAATTGTGAACCAGGCTTTGTCAAAATAACACACTCACTAAATTTCTTCTCATGTAGAAAGTAGACATCTCAAGAAATTCAGAAATTAAATCATATGATAGGTTAACGTTTTAAAATGTAAGATGAGAACAATATCATAATATAGAATTACAAAAACTGTCCCAATATAGCTGAATTCACCTAGTTGGTTTATCACTTTTACATGTCACAAAAAGAAATACAGGTAAGTACTCTAACCCATATCTAAGCCATGATTAACTGCCAAACATACTGTTAACTTGATGTAAAATAGAAAAGTATAAACTCTTGAACTCTTTGTTTTGTATCTCACTGTTCTTGTAAACCTTTTTAAATTAAATGCAACTATTAATGAAACAGATTTTCATTATTAAATGTTATTGTATGGACTCTGTTTTACCGTCTTCTTTTAAATATACACATTTATTATAAAACTGTTGGCTCTTTGCTTGTAATTTAACTTTAACGCTGAACGTATACACAATAAACATACACAGATACCTACAAGATTGTACACACAGTATAGGCTGGGCTATGTTGACTTTGCAAACTTTACCTTTGCACTGTTTTGTAGGAGTATTTCCTTTATTGCTTTTCCTATCCCCACGCTGCTCCGGTCACTACTGCGCTTTTACCATTTAATGTAATTTTAGAAGAGAGGAGGAAATTAAAAAAATGTTGAATCGAGAAATGTTAGCGGGCTTTTATACGGACGGACACGGAAGAACACACCAAAGTGCTTTATGTTAAACATCAACCAAAGAATATAGTTTCAGTGGCTCTCCATTTTACATGTTTCTTAACAAGGAAACCAAACTTATTCTTTCTGTGGAGGAAAAGATGACAATAGCGGAAGTTTAGAAAAATTTAAAGAAATCAAGTGGGATACACATTTAATCTAGTGTGTTTTGCATTTTTGAACACTATGGAGCAATATTTTTGCAAGTGGGAACCTGTTTTCTTTCTATATTCAAGAATGCAGAGGATGAGGGACATTTTTAAAACACATCTATATGTAGTCAGATTACTTTTGTTTCAACATAATTTCATATCTTAATATGTTAATAAAAATATAGTCTGCATTAGTGATCTGCTGCTTTCCAATGATGGATGTATAAATGAAGGCACACACTTTTCCCTGTAAATGTTTCTTTCCCTTAAATTATTTTACTTTTACATTTACCCATGCTAGAAGATCATGCAGTGGCCTTAAGTTATTGCTTACACTTTAATGCACCAGCAATAATAACCCAATAAAGTAATGTAATATTCTACAAGGGGTTATTCTGCGAAATTAATAGTTGAATGATAACTTGATTACTTTCATTGTATGCTACATTTACTTCAACTCCACTGCAATTGAGATTACAAGCAGCATTGGCAGTACTGAGAAGTCTGTCACCAGTGTGTTTGTGGTAAATCAAAATAGACATTAAGGGGCAGTTTCCCAGACAGAGATTGAGCCTAGTCCTCATTTATTTTAGACTCTGTCCGGGAATCCGCCCCTAATAGTACAGAACCATAGACTGTATAAAAGAAGAACCTCACTCACACTCAACAGAGAACTGTGTGGCTTGAAAAATCTCCATTACAATAGACTAATGGGTCCGGAGTCCCACTCGCTTCAACAAAGTAGGCTATTAAATCTTTTTGAAAGCTGTCATTGTTTCTAACAACGGAGCTTCTCAGGCCAAAATAGAGCTACTTTTTCTTGTTTTTGTTGGAGATACATGACAACTTGACAACAACGTCATGTATTATTGTATAATATAGGCTATATAATATTATAATATAAAATATTATCATAATCTGTGGTTTTTTTATAGTGCGTGTATAGTTTCCGTAGTGTAGTGGTTATCACGTTCGCCTAACACGCGAAAGGTCCCCGGTTCGAGACCGGGCGGAAACACTTATTTAGTTGAGGAAACCTGACTGATAATAGGAAAGAGGCATATAAGTGTTACTGTGGCTATGGTCGTAGCTGTTTATGATTTGATAAGATTAAGGCTGTGACACATGGTGTTAAGATTTCAATACGTAACCGTTTGGAAACTCCTTTGGTGTAACAGTCTTGGCCACAGGTAGTCTTAACGACTGTAACGACTGTCGTCACAGCAACAAGGAACACTAACGGTATCGATGACCCGGGATAACGATCCCACTGAGGTCCCCACTGAGGTTAAATAGCTGAGTTTCCCTGCCAGTCAGTCAGAACTGAAGAAGTCCTTTGGATAAGGGACGAAACGTCTTCCAGTAGCTTCAACCAAGTCCAGTTGCCCTTCATTTTAACCTTCGTTGGATAACTATGACCTGGATGACTGAGAATCTTCATAGACAATGATAAGTCAGTTGATCAATTAGTCATTCTGAAAATTTATCTGGCAACAAGACTGATAATCCATTAATAAGTCAAGACATTTTTTAAAGATTTTTTTTTAAAGATAAATAAATCATTAATAGAGAAAATAATCCGTGGGCCTCGTTAATGAAAATAATCAATCATTGCAGCAGTAATTCACTGACATGAAATTATGATTTCCTATTATAACTTCATAGAATATAGACTAGCTGTTATATTCAAGATGAAGATTCAAGAGACTAATAGTTTATATCTTTAGCAATAATAGATACAACTTTCATCAATCAAGCATCACTTTGTTCATATGCATGAGCAGTGTGTTGAACAAAAAGTTTGTGCTGCTGACGTTCTGATAAAATATATAACGTGAAATATACAAATACACCAAATAAATGTACAACGACATAATTTCAAAAGAGGTTGAAATTTTGTGTGATTCTGCAATATCAAGTAAGTGGTGAAATCAAAACACTGCTTGTACATTTTATGTCTTTACCACACCTTCCCACACAAAATAATCCTGTTCAGAACACACACAACAAACTGTGAATAATCATCAAATACTTTCCTCACACTGAAACAATAATTAAGGTAACTGTATACCTCAAACTAATCTAGAGGGCAGTTCTCGACCTGCGATTAAATGCCATGTGATCGGCTTAACTCCTGTAAACTCAACAAGACAAAATGTTCCTGAGTTTGGAAACTTCCTGTTAAACATCTGCGTCTGCATCTTCAAGCGTTTCCGGGCTTGATAAGATTAAGGCTGTGACACATGGTGTTAAGATTTCAATACGTAACCTTTTGGAAACTCCTTTGGTGTAACATTTACGTTACTGGCAAGACATCAGAATCAGAATCAGAATCAGAAGGAGTTTTATTGCCAAGTAGTGTTTTACACATATGAGGAATTTGCTGTGGTGATAAGGTGCTACACGTAGACAAACATACAGTCAACATGAATAAATGTTGAAATATATAAATATGGAATGAAAGAACAACATTGCAGATATAGCCTATAGGCTACATGTACATCAGTCATATCTGGCAAAGAAACCACGTTCACACATTGCTGGCAGGAGGGTCGGCTTTTCAACGCTGTTTTCGTTTGATAACAGTAAATCAGTGGTTAAGGCTACAGTTGCCGCCACAGTCGGAGTTCCTACTTCTGAACTCCTCCTGATTCATTCACCACGCGTCTCCCCGTCGGGGAATCGAACACCGGTCTCCCGCCTGGGATGCTTATCACTGTACTAACGAGGAGTAAACTATGGAAAGTAACCTATTGTCCATAGTCCGCATAAAGTGGCGCTGTTTCAGTTACTGTATTTCTTTTTTTTTTTTGTGAAGAGGGACAGGAAACATGGAAATATGTGAAAATAGAAATGCCCTGTGGCTTAGTAGAAACAGTGTGTTGATCTAATAGGAAATTGATTTCATTACTATTTTTTTAAGATTCATCTGATTCCTTTTTAGATTTGCTGCTTTTGTGTAGAGAACAGGTAGGCTAGCGTTGGAAGATGCTGTCAACTTCTACCAAAGCTATAAAACTGAGTTACCTGCTGCATATTATGTTGTTTAGCTGAATCTATATTAATGTACCATATTTTATAAAGCAAGTATATGTTTTGTATAATCTTTAATCTGAAAAGTAATAACTATGTCTGTAACAAATGTATTGAAGCAAAATGTACAATATTTCCCTCTTCATTGTAATGAAGTTACACACTGGTCCTTATTTTGCACTGAGAAACAATACAGGTTTGTTCTGTATGACGGTGTTGTGGTTTGTCATTGCCAAGAGCTACTGGATCAACGAGGGAAAAGTCATGTATTTCCTTCCTTGTGGTATCACCAGGACGGCCTCTCCATTCTTTGTCTCATCTGTCACCAGCTCGAGGAGGCAGTCTGCTACCTCAGACGCACTGCAATAAAAAACACCTCAGTGAATATGCATGTACACAGTATCATACGTGTGTGTCATGATAATGTACTTCAACATGATGTCAACAAAGGGTCTAAAAATGACAGTCAGCACCTAAGGTTAACCTGCTGCAGAACAAACAGAGATTTAAGATTTAATGGAGCATAGAGCAAAATGTTGTGAGCATTAGACTTACCTTAAAACCCTAAACTTTTCTATTAATTGTTGGGTTTCATCAGCCAGGTGGGAGTAGGGCCCCAGATTGGAAGGAATGGTAGAGAAGAGGTCAGTTTGAACAAAAACTGGGCAAAGGGCGTTGACCCGTATACCATAGCCTGATGCAGTAGAGGCAGCCTAGTAACAGACACACACATACACACAATTAAGCTTCAACTGTTCAGAGGCACAGGTAAACATATTATACAAGCACTAAAAGGAAAAAGCCATGTGTCTCTGTTTAAATAAAGTGCTTTTATTACACTAGTTACACTAGTTTCTTTATCTCTTTGGCTTTCATCATAATAAAACCTTCCTTACCGCCATGGCTCGAGTGAAGCCGATCACCCCGTGCTTGGTGGCTGTATAGACAGGACAGCTTAGTAGAGGGCCGAGACCTGTAGGATGTAGGTTTTACAAGTCAATATTAGGTTGCAACAATGTTGAGACCTGGTAGCATTTCCCATTTATGTGCTGTGATCTTACCATTGGTTCCTCTTAGATGTTGATTATTCATGTTATTGGTTGTGTGTAGTTTTTGTCAGTCTGACTTTTTTTGTACAATTCCTCAGGATTTATGTGCAAAAGCAGCTAATAACTGAGACACAAACATGGCCCGACTGATTCACAAGACTGGATAAATAGTATTGTGAATAATTTGCTAGTTTTGACTTTCTACAAACACGAGCACAGATGATTAAAATTATAACTAGAATTGCCTGTACGCCCTTCCAAATAATAATGTTTATTTATAAAACATGGTTGCATCCAGTGAGGCATTCTTGATTTTATCACAGTCTTCTGTAAATTTTGGATCAATATGTCTGATGATAGTGAGAGGAATCCAGTGGTGTTTCAGGTAGGTTTACAAAATCAGTGATTTTAATGTGTCAAGTTCAAGTACATTGATAACTATTCCAGCTAGGCTCTGGAGTGTGGGTGCCACGAGATGTGGGGGCCCTTCTTCAAATTTTCAAAGTTATGAGGTAATTGTCACATTTAGTGCATGGTGTGTAAGCTCCTTAGAATATGCAAAAAAAATGTCTCTGTGCCATTTTTCTTAATGTATTGAAATGATGCTGTTTTCTTATTATTTATAAAAACAAACACATCTGCAGTACATGGTGGGCTTTACCTGCCATGGATGCAGTGTTGACGATGATCCCTCCCCGACCTCCAGTCAACTTGTTCATGTGCTCCAGAGCCAGGTAAGTCCCCCTGATAACCCCCATCTACAACACAGAATGGTTAATAGACGTTTTTGGTGTTGACAGTAGAAATCTCTTTTTTGTTCATAAACACAGTGACGGCTGGTGCAGGTCGTCCTTTGAGTACTAAATGTTGTGAAATGAAACACATGAACTCCCTTGTGGGACCAAGTACAAGTAATGATCATTATCCCCACCAGAGGTGGTTTGTTACTCTTTTTCACTTCTTACAAGGTTTATGGAGACAGTTTTCTCCCACACAGTCTCATTCAAGATTCCAGCATTGTTGCACAGGATGTCTATTCCTCCGAAGGTTTCTGCGGTTTTCTGAAAGGCAGCTTGAGAGCAGAAAAAACAGTTGTGGTTGTGGTTAACAGTGGTTAACTTTTCATAATCAAGATTCCCTTATATAGCCTACTTAGACAGTTGCAGAACCTTTTCAGTGTGTCATCATTTACTGTAGAGCTGCAATGATAAGTCATCCAACGAAGGTTAAAATGAAGGGCAACTGGACTTGGTTGAAGCTACTGGAAGACGTTTCGTCCCTTATCCAAAGGACTTCTTCAGTTCTGACTGAAACTCAGCTATCTTCACCTGAGGCCAATAGGTTACGTTTGTTGAGTTTCCTGGGAAGTGATGAAAGGATAGCATTGTAAGTGGGGTCTACGCCACCACTTATCCCCCACTTACAATGCTGTCCTTTCATCACTTCCCAGGAAACTCAACAAACGTAACCTATTGGCCTCAGGTGAAGATACCAACGATGGTCGTTCAGTCTTGGCCACAGGTAGTCTTAACGACTGTAACGACTGTCGTCACAGCAACAAGGAACACTAACGAACCAGCGGTATCGATGACCCGGGATAACGACCCCACTGAGTTTCCCACTGAGGTTAAATAGCTGAGTTTCCCTGCCAGTCAGTCAGAACTGAAGAAGTCCTTTGGATAAGGGACGAAACGTCTTCCAGTAGCTTCAACCAAGTCCAGTTGCCCTTCATTTTAACCTTCGTTGGATAACTATGACCTGGATGACTGAGAATCTTCATAGACAATGATAAGTCAGTTGATCAATTAGTCATTCTGAAAATTTATCTGGCAACAAGACTGATAATCCATTAATAAGTCAAGACATTTTTTAAAGATTTTTTTTTTAAAGATAAATAAATCATTAATAGAGAAAATAATCCGTGGGCCTCGTTAATGAAATAATCATTCATTGCAGCAGTAATTCACTGACATGAAATTATGATTTCCTATTATAACTTCATAGAATATAGACTAGCTGTTATATTCAAGATGAAGATTCAAGAGACTAATAGTTTATATCTTTAGCAATAATAGATACAACTTTCATCAATCAAGCATCACTTTGTTCATATGCATGAGCAGTGTGTTGAACAAAAAGTTTGTGCTGCTGACGTTCTGATAAAATATATAACGTGAAATATACAAATACACCAAATAAATGTACAACGACATAATTTCAAAAGAGGTTGAAATTTTGTGTGATTCTGCAATATCAAGTAAGTGGTGAAATCAAAACACTGCTTGTACATTTTATGTCTTTACCACACCTTCCCACACAAAATAATCCTGTTCAGAACACACACAACAAACTGTGAATAATCATCAAATACTTTCCTCACACTGAAACAATAATTAAGGTAACTGTATACCTCAAACTAATCTAGAGGGCAGTTCTCGACCTGCGATTAAATGCCATGTGATCGGCTTAACTCCTGTAAACTCAACAAGACAAAATGTTCCTGAGTTTGGAAACTTCCTGTTAAACATCTGCTAACTGGAACCTTTGGTTGCAAAAAACAATCACAAACCACTCTGCGAACTCCTGGTGTGATTGATACGCTTCAAGCGTTTCCAGGCTCTTCAGCACCTCCCCTACTTGTTTACTTTATTTCTTGTGTGTTACCTTTCACCTGCTCCTCTGATTCAACATCACAGATGTGGAACAAAGTTCTCTCCCGTCCGTACACTTTCTCGAGGGCTTCCATTAAATTATTTCCTTCAGTTTCATTCACATCCAGGAGGGCTACCTGTACAGGTGAAGGACCATCACATATACACTTAGTTTCCTTGAAAAAAAAAAAAATATATATTTTTTTTACTTTGCTTTTCACTGTTTATCTGTACTTAGTTTCCACTTTACCTTGGCACCATTTTGCAGGAGTTTTTCCGCCATTGCTTTTCCTATTCCCTGGGCTGCTCCGGTCACTACTGCGATTTTACCATTTAATGCCATTGTAATTGTTCAGTCAGAAGAGAGGAGGCTCCTAGCTGTTGAGTCCCTGCAGGAGATGTAAGGCACAATGAAGAATGGAGAGAACTCACTGTGCTTTTAAACTGACACACCCAGGAGGGCATTCCCAGCGTGTCAAAGCGTGTTCTGTAAAGAGCCTGAGGCCATTCATTTATTGCCTAACCTAAAGAGGTGTGTCAAGCAGGGTACAGAGTACAGACTCTTTTAATGTTGTTCAGCAAAAAAACTTCTCAGGCTTTTATTTAAACACTACAGATGAAGTGATTATGTGACTAACTTTTGCTGCCAAGACTGAAGTCTATTTCAGCACCGCTATCAAAGTATTTATTGTTTTATATTTTTTGCCGCTATCAAAGCACCATAATCTGGCAGTGGACAATTAACGATAACATATTGTTTTACTGAATAATTAATTTTGCATATAGGCTACAGTTAGCGGTTTAGCAAAAAGTAAAGCTAACTATATATCCATCAAGAAGCTCTGTGTAAATCATCTCAGTACTGGATTCCCTGTTGGTCTTTGAGGCTGTGTTCGGTCCTGTTCACGCCATGTTCACTGGAAGTCTGCTGAACACCATCATTCCCTACTGAAACACCTTCATACAGTCCCTGGTAAACACTAACACTCCCCCTGTGCTCCGAGCTCCTAGTACAAGCAGAGCTCATTTGACCAGTGGTTGCACAGCTAACTGAGCTAATAACAGCAGCAAGTTAGCTTTTAACTACTTCAGCAACAAGTAAATCTGTCCATCAGGAAACTCTGTGAATCACAGAGTTGAGGCAGAGCAGCAGGGGGACATCAGGGAGAAAACTAGAATATATTTTCTCCATATTTCTTATATTTCTCCATCAAATATGTGAAAAAGGTGTTTTTGTACAGTATTCAATGGGGCACGGTCCCAGAAACACAGAAGCATTATATTAAGAAAATTTTTGCATTGGATGCTAAATTAATACAAGTGCAGAATGAGTCATCAACATTTTAAAATGGTTTTACAAATGACAACCTTTTAAATTAACCCTGGTCATGAGACTTGTCATAATGTTTGGTTGAGAAAGTCCTCATCGCTGTCAGCAGCTTTCTGAGCAGATTTCTGCATCTCATTAAGATGTTTTTGTTCACTGTCAGGAGATGCAGCATCAGCACACAGGGAGGAGCTGGATTGCAGCACAGCAGCCTCAGAAAGTGCCAGCTCTGCTGCTTGGAACCAAGCCACGAGACACAGCACTTTGAACGGTATTGTCTATAGTCCAGTTGTGCCTTGGGCTGCGTGCTGGCTGTATGTATTGCAGCACTCTGGCAGTGGGAGTCACCATGCCATCAAGACCTGTAAATGAAGAGAGGTATTTTGTGCCAAAATCAGAAGGCAACAAAGACAAACCGGATAAGTCTGTTCCCACAGCTTTAAAAATGTTGATTTCCCTTATCGCCTCTTTTCCAAACAACTTGAAAATTTCCTCTGAGCGCTCGTTGACCTCTCATAAAATATCTCCGTATTTATTTGCGTTGCCTTGGCCAGACTCTGTAGAAATGAGGGACATAGGTTGCAAAGGAGACCCTCCTCTTTTACTCCAAAGAAAACTGACCAGTCATTGTGTAAATGTGCATTAATTTCCATTGGATTGTATATTTCTGCCATGAATGCTACCAAAGGCCAAATAATCTTCATGGTACGCTACCGGGCAACGCTTCTGACCCTCCAGATTGAGGTCAACTGTGCCATCTGTTTCTGGTCTGTAGTGAACCTATTCAGACATGATTTAGTGTCTGGACGTCTTCTGTTCTGAATTTAGGGAAGACCTCATACCTGGGCATCTACATTAATTACTTTATCTGTTTTAAGGATTAAACTTGATAAGCAGAATATGGACTGGGAATGTGGAACACTGTAACAAATAGAATTGGCTGCAGTGTCTTCCAGGTTGAGTGTGAAAGAGTAAGAACAAGGCTTTCAAATGAGTGATAATTTTGTTTAGCTATAGCTGAAACTCTACCTCCTTGGTCAGTGTCTCGTGGAATGTGTTAATTTGACTGGGTGGAGAGGATTCATTTAGGCTAACATATTCTTCATGACACAGCCAGGTTCCAGTAAGGCTAAATCAATATTATAATCTGATATTAATGTATTTTCTATTACAGCTTTAGATGAGAGTGATTTGATGTTTAAGAGCCCACATTTAATTCTTTTTTTATTTGTACTTGGACATTTTTATCAGGTTTTTATGCACAGATCTTGTTCTGTTTACTTTTGAAGAGGACCTACTGGTTTAACAAACGACTAAAAACCCCTGTCACAGAACAGGTTACCGGTAACATAAAGGAAGACCTGATACAGAAACAAAGGCACAGCCGGTGCAGTCGAAAGCAACTTACTAAGTCCAAATGTAGATAGGTTATAAGCAGAAATCTATACATGGCCAAATTGTGTTGTAGTTAGAAAGACCTGCAAGATAAACTTGGGACTTAGGAGCAAATCAGCTTCCGAACTGTTGCAAAGATCGTCTATAAAGACTAAAACATCAATGTTGCAGGCACATGAACATACATTAGAGTGAGAGGTCTTCATGTTCACCCTTTCCCCCCTCTGGCTGCCTGTCACCTGCGCATGCGTATCAGGACTCCTCTGGTTGTAATAGAAATCATGGCCGTCGCGATGCAGACGGAGGATTTTCCTTTCTTACCTTCGGGGCCGGCTGAGGGTATGGCTTGTTTCTGTACTAAATGTATTAATTTATTTTAAGATAACACTGCGTCGGTGCACTCAGTCACGAGCAGGGTTAGTCGAGCTGAAAAGGCCAGTGTTGCCGTTAGCTTCCTGCTAGCTAACGTTAGCCGGCATTGCACTGTGTCGGAGCAGCTTTGCTAAACTAGCTGTAGCCGTTTCGGCTCCAAGGTCGACAAGAGCATGTCTGCATCCAGTGTTTCTGCAGAATGATAGTGAATCCATTTCTCTGCCCGTGAACAAGTGGAGATCGGGGGGTGGGAGGGCAACTTTGGTTCAGCAGACACGCATGTTTTTTTTAGGCCATATGCGTCTCGCACTTTGCTGACGTTATAATCCTTGTGGTGCGATTGAAACGTTACTTAATGTAATAGCAACACATACAAGACACGTTACTTTTACATGGACAGTATTATAACTTATCTGAAGTTTGTATGAGTTGTCCAAATGTCATTTCTGAGCAAATGTGGCTTCTATATGATATCTTTTATAGTGGTTCTAGTTACCTCTCGGTTGGGTTGTCAACTTTGTTTGAGTGGACTACCGTTGCCAAAGGGTTATAGCATAAATCCCCTGTTTACATACTTTTGACCCTTTTGTGTAACTTCCATTCTGCACCAAAACAAATGACAAAATATGCATTGTCAGCAGCAAGTACTGTGTCTGTGGCCTTAGAGATGAGATACTTATATCTTAATGTCTAATCTTAAGGCCACTCTATTTCTCAGAGTTTATCAGACTGTTGTTAGGTAGTTAAACAGAATGAATAGTGGATGGCACTACCTGCTAGCTTATCATAAACTCATATCTTATGAGAATCCCTCAGAAACAGCCCTAGTAAGTGAAAGGATCTAATAAAAGTGTGTTCCCCAAGTTGTTGTTAGATTACTGATATACCCTAACCCTGAGTGAGCCCCTTTCCTGCAGCACAGGAATAGGAGGCCTCTTAGCAAAGAAAACTCCCGCACACTGTCTAACTTGCCAAAAAATATATATAGACACTGTTTCAGTACTAGACCTTCATCAGGCAAATGGTGTTACATAGTGAGAAGCCATTCTTTTGTAGGAGGTGATTTGTTTGTCTACACCAATCACCTACTACACATACAATCACATCTTAAAATAAGGCAACCATTACAAAACATTCATTCATATTTCCATGGAATGAATGTAGATTTATGTATACTGAATGTACATCAAAACAATATCAGAAAGTGCACTCATGAACAGACATGCTCTCAAATCTTGCTGGTACCTACTATATCAATAGACAAATAGCCTAGAGGAAATAGCATAATAAACACAACAATAGATTGATAGATAAATAGACGGGGGGGGATAGGAGGCTTCTTATCATCACAATGAAATTAAACAGACACGTATTATGGACTTCATTTTATTGAGTACTATCAGCTGAAGCTTTTTAACATTACAAATGATAAAATGTCCCAACTGCTGTTAATTTGCTGATCCTGTGATGACCATGACTGCAGGAGCTGTCCAGGGTACTCAGTATATTTGAGTCATTCTTTCTGGCAGAGAGCAGGATTTCATACAAATTATTGTAAAAAGCTCACATGCTCACTCAACTCGGATTGTTAGGCAACTGTACTGTGAAGATAGATGGAGCAAGCCTTTTCTTTTAAGGCCATAATATTTTTAGTTCAGTTTTTCCAACAGAGCAGCAAAGATAACAATTCAAATTTCAAATCAAAGTGTTTATTGTCAGATGTTCAAGTTTCCATTGAAGTTTCCATTGAAGTTTCAATTGTGAATACATGTTCATCTTGGTAATAATTGGGCAATAGTATTTGCTTTCTTACAGGCTTGCAGGCAAGTCTACATACAGACATCTTTTGGTGAAACAAAGTCCCATACCACCGTCTTTAAGTCCAGACTGTGTGCGTTTATTTACAGTTTAGTTAGCTGGCCCAGACAGTCTCTCCTGTGCCAGGGTGCTTCTCAGATATGTTTGAATTGGTTTCAGTTTTGGCGGCACTTGTAATAGTCACAGGTAGAAAGAAATAGTTAATTAGCCTTGGTAATGTCAGGCACACTTGGTAAAATGGGCTCAATCCCAATCTCCACCCTAAACCCTAAGCCCTGAACCCTCACAGACTTAATTGACGTCACCTGGTAAGTGCTTAATTGCAAGAGGCTGCAAGGGACTGAAATGGTATAAAGGGACAGTACTGTGCCATATATCGCGTTACTTTGACTATGCCAAAACATTGTAAAGTTGTGTGTGTTTTGGACTTTGTATTTTTTACTTTCTTCATGGCCGAGGCCTTAAAGAGAGGACAATAGGTAATTTTCAAATAATCAATTTACCTGTCAACTTATTTTTTTTTTCTTGAGGTTGCTCCTTTCATGTTTGTTTACCATTTTCTTAAACGCCTGCTTCCCCTGGGAACCCCACATTTAACATCACAAAGCTATAATCTGTGGGTTATTCCCTCAGGAAAAGTCTGCAAAGACTTGTGCCCTGTGCGTAAAGGGCTCAGAAAGTCTGCGAGAGAGTCCTCGTGCACTTGAAAATTTGATAGTGGAACAGCCCTAAGCCCTCATGGACATACAGGGCACATGCCTCAAAGTCCCCAAGTCTGTGAGTGTGGAAAGAGGGATTCAGCTATGAGGTGGTGCTTTATGAATAAAGGCGAGTGAAGGGGTCTGTTGGGCTGTGAGAGTGTACTTTACAGGCCAGCTAGTGATGTTACATATTCCATGTCTGAAAGAGCTAAATTAAATAGTGCTCATCCGAACCAACCAAGTAAAAGACATAATGACTAAATCACGTCAAACCAAATCCAATCCCCTGAATTAATACCTGGCCTAATCATGTCTAATATGCCACCAGTTGGGCCTAAAACATGCATGGAGTTCACAGATTTTTGCATAGGTGTTTGCCAGCATACTTGCATGTACTGTAAACGTGCACAAAGGGGGTTGTCTTCCATTAACCAGGCTTGAATTACTCACAATGCAAAAGAAAGCTGTTTAAGAGCGACTTGTTTTCAAAGACTCTGTAAAATAAACCTAATACAGAGGATTTCAGGGCCACTGAATTTGGACGCTACTGAGCTGTCAGATTCCCATAACAAATTGAGTTGTTCAGCAGAAATGTAGTTTGAACCTTTGCCACATAGTTTTTCACGTTGTGTTATAATTACATTTTCCCAGAAGATGTAACCTGATTTGAAATCTCCTGATTCTCTCTTCCCCCTGCAGTAAATAAGATGATAAAGGAGCACGGCGACCTGTTTTCTGACTCCCAGTGTAAAGTCTGCAGTGCTGTCCTAATTTCCGAGTCTCAGAAGTTGACTCATTATCAGGTCAGTGAGCCCACAGTCTGCTGCTGCTGTTTCAGTGTAGCTAGAAGCAATGTATTTATTTATTTTTTTTAATGCACTTTACATCACGTTAATGGGTTTATATTACTTTGAGAGCTTTTCTACATTAGGCTGATTTGGTAGGTAGTATTTATGATTCACAATCTTTAAATCATATTTTATATACATACACTACTTTAATCTCAAGTTGTCTGACAACAGAAACAGAAAAATATGTAAATGAAAACAATATAGTTGTGAGTTTTGGCTGTTGAAAAACACAGAGAGCGTAAGGGGACAGAGCGGAGGATTAACCAGCTGAGACAGTAGCCACACTTTTAGCCACTCTGCTGACCAGATTTTGGCTGTGATGTATGTTTTTTGCTGTTTGAAAACAGGTTGATGAAGAAGAAATTAAACTTTTTCCTGTTGTTTAGGCATTTCAGTGTGGACTCCAGGTTCACTCCAGGTCCATGTGAAAACATTTTCAGCTGTGTACTTAGTTTCAGTACTAGGGCTGGGTATAATTTTTATTCTTTTTGTTATTGCTGATATGATACACATTTTTGGTGCTGGTACTAAAATTCTACTTTGTGTTGATACCTCACCTTATCAGTTTGGAAAATGTTGGCAACAAAGATAAAATTTGCATCACAAGTTAGAAGAGCCATCTGCCAAGTTGTAACCATAACAGAGTTGACGTTTAGAGTAGATATAGTCGTAAATTACTGGCAGATGTGTGATTTAAACTATTAATAGATTACTAAAATGGTCAGATTAAGTATGATGGTGTGTTTTTTTTGTTTGGGACAGAATACAAATGTATTGTCAACTTGCCAAAGTCATTCAAAAGCAACCTACCAGCCATCAAAATGCAGAAGCTGCTTTTTCCTGAGTAACCACTCAGAAATAAACTTTTCTTCTGTACATATGGAAATAAGTTTAATGCAATGGGTTGGTGTGTTGATTGTTGTTCGTGTTGTGATGAACAGTTTTTCCTTGTCTTTTCAGAGCAAGAAACATGCCAACAAAGTGCGGCGTTATCTTTCCTTCCAAAATGAAAAGGAACCAGCATTTAAAAAGTTGAAGTCGGCCTCATCTGACAGTGTGAGTAAAACGTGCTCAGTTTTAACAGTTAATGCAAGCCAACCCCAAACAACTTAAATCACCCAAACCAACAGTTTCTTTTTGTAATCCCAACTGAACTAATGCTCCAAGTCTCTATTCATTTGCCAACTATGAATTTAAAGTAATAGTACTTTTTGATCTTGAGCAAACTGAGTAGTTGGATCTTCCTGGATGTCTTCAATCTTTCTCCTGGAAGCCTGTGGATATTTAGACAATGAATGTGCCCACTCCTGCCATTTATATGAAGCCCACTCACCAGCCTGCATTAAGATCGAGCAAACTTAAACTTAAATGTCATAGCCTATCCAAAAATACATTGAGGCTGCGGTTACACCAGGTTTCACTACCCACACAGTCCAGTCAGATTGAACTCTGGAACCTTGCGTAAAAAATGTTTTGATTGCCTTAAACATCTAAAATGTTAGCGAAAAGCCAGTTTTAGGCTCTTAGTTTTAGTAAACCTATAGGAAAACAGATAACATACAGTTTATTTATTAAAGGAGAAATGATACCTCTTGTAGCCATAAATGATTTATGTTGCTGGGTGTGTGTTTGCAGGACTGTAACAATGGAGACACCGACCGGTTGAAGGAGTGTCATGTATGTAACATGGCCTTCTCCTCTCCTGTGGTGGCTGAGTCTCACTACAACGGCAAAGTTCACGCCAAGAACCTGAGGCTGAAAACTGTAGGTCCCCAGATCCCAGGTATGTAAGTTTTTTTGTTTGTTTGTTTTTTCGTTATTATTTCATTCATAACCTCCACATGTTAACCTAACACATTGCTTTTATCTTATTTCCTATGTGAATGTATTATTTACATGTTTTCCTTATGTATGTTTTATTACTAAGGCACAATAATATTTGTGTAATTGTTTTTATTCTTCCCTCTCTCCTCTTTTCCTCCCCTTCAGCAGCAGCCTCCCAAACACCACCAACAGCTCAGCTGAAGAAGAAACCTGCAGATGATTTGAGCAGTGTGCCGGTGACTGACGACAACAACAACCCGGACCGTTTCTGCTCCATCTGCCAGGCCTCCTTCAACAACCCGCTCATGGCCCAGCAGCACTATGTGGGCAAAAAGCATAGAAAACAGGTGACCAAGCTGAAACTGATGGAGACGTATGGTCCCTCCACAGCACCAGGTCAGAGCACAGAACCAGGAACTCAGTTTGAAACTCTGTTTGCAGAGCTGCCAATTTTAAGGCACTACTCCCTTCACCTCACTAATTATGCAATAATTCTCAAATCTTTCTCTTCCTTTTTGGGCAGATTCAGTCTTACAGGCTTAAAGAAAAATAACTTCTCTCCTTTTCTGTGTGTCTGCAGCTTCCACACTAAAGGGCTACCCGTGCACAGTCTGCAACATTGAACTAAACTCTGTGGAGCAGTACCAGTCTCATATCAGTGGTGCCAAACATAAGAACCAGTAAGCACACACATCTCCATTTAAAGTTTTCTTTAAATGGTAACTTTGGTATATTTCAACATATGTTCCCATGTTTTTGTGTTTGACTAATGGGGACAACATTTTTTAAAAATGGTCCAGTATTGAGTGAGCACACTGCAGTCGGGAGCAACGTGACAGGGCTGTTGTCCTTGCGGGCAATTGCGCCCGGTCAAAGTCCATCCACTGAAGCGCTTGTTTTTGTGTCTGATAACATTATGGAAAGGATCCCTAAAATAACTTTTTAACTTTCTGGTATGATAATCAGATTGAATTGTTAACAAAGCCAGCCAGCCAGTAGTGTTGAAAAACAAAGTGATCTGTCCCCAGAAAAACATAAAATAATCTAAATATTTTCTTATTTTAGAGTGAAGAAATCGGGCATGAACACTGCAGAGAACCAAGACGCAGCAGAAAATTCGTGCGAGGGCAACAACCAGTACACCAGTGGAGACAAACAATACAGTGCCGCCAATGAGCAGTACGCACCCGGGGACGACCAGTACGGCACCGCAGATGAGCAGTACACAGCCGTAGATAACCAGTATGCGCCTGAGGACACAGAGTACTGTGAGGAGTATCAGTTTACTTGAGGCTGGGCTAGTGGGAACTGCAGAGGCTTCAGGCAGGACTTGGAATGACACACAACAACCAGCCCCTTTAACACATTAACATCAGCCTCCATGGACCTTCATCTCCTGCAAGAGTCAGGAGGTTTTCCCCTGGAACAGAGTCATCCAAACCACAGGCTTGGACCCCTGAATAACCCAACGTTGGACTTTAGCATTTTGGGTTCCCAACTGAAACAGTTAAATATTGTGTGTTTTTTTATTTAGTTTCCTCCTCTTACGAAACGTGTGATAATGGGTTCAACAGTTGATATTTTTTATCCACAATCACAAGAAAGAATGTCTTCAAGTGTTCAACTGGCTTCTGCTTCTGTTACAAACGTGTACTGATTGAAAACCATCCCCCATATCACTGTACATTAGAGCTGGTGTGAAATGTGGCGATACTGATATGATCAGTACTTTACTTTAGGAATGTAAACATGTTTTTTTACAAAACCTTTTATTCATAGAGAAGCCAACATTTGCCAAAACAAAATGTTGTCTAAAAGGAGCAAAATTGTAATTTAAATTGGAAAATACTAAGTAAATAAAACAACAAATCCGACCAGTCATTCTATACCAGCTTTCTAAACGCAAGTACCACAAAAGTATTGAAGTGCGACACCCAGCCTTAGTGTACACACTAGGGATGTTCCAATAAAGTTTTTTCTTTAATTGGGAATCTGCAGATACCGACTTCGATACGATTTTTTATTTACTTAAATGTTGATCGGACTGAATCTGACACAATGAACAGCTGTAGAACACTACATTTGACACACCATATTTTTTATGAGCTGCTTGATCCAAAAACTGAAAGTTCAAAATGATTGTGTTTTTAAACTGAAAATATTGAAATGACTTCAGTAGAGTTTAACAGGACAATACTACTCCTGAAATTGATGTGATGCGATCAGCTAGGTCATTTTAATGAGAAAATGAATCACTCTGTTGGAGTTGTGAGCAGGCTGGGATAGAACAGCAGAATACAGGAAAGGATTTTGATTGATTGATTGGCCCAGATAACTAATTCTTAGGACCTGCTCGGGACATCTCTAGTATGTCAAACATCAAAGTGATAACAGGAGAAATTTTTTAAGTCCAGAAACTTTGTTTAAAGTTTGGTTTGATGCAGTCTATTAATATATTAAGATATAATAGGGTATTTTAATTGTTTAGCCCCTACTAACATGTAACTAATACTAACATTTAGTACCAGAGCCACATATAACCCCTGAAATTTCAAAGCAAAGCTGCTTTCCTGTTTACATTTCTTCGGTTCACCTGTACATGGCTGATTTGCAGCTTCTGTGAGTGTTATTTATTGAAACCTGTCCTCATCTTCTTTCTCACTCGCTCTCTGCAAGATGTGTCTAAATCTGGCGTTGAAGATGCCGACATTGGAAAAGAAGTGAAATCGAACCTCAGAACAGCCAGATCACTGTAGCCAGATGTGATAATGTCATTGCTGTCCAGACAGAGGCTTTCTGTCGCTACTGGATCTAGTTTGTAAAAACTGATATTATTAGTTGGATTTTATAAGAACTTGGTTTAAAGTTTTACTTTCATTTCTATTTATTTAAAGTCACAATATCTCCAGAAGGATTCTTTTGGGTATTTTTCATTGGAATGTTGTTCTTCTGTTTAAATCACTGAGTACCAGATAGTGAATTCACAACTTTTGTTAATGTTCTGGACGAAGCGGATATTGCTGTTCAGGTGGCCCAGGAATCTTTATTTCACCTGTGTTTTTTTAGTTACTTACTCTTGTTAGCAGTAACATCATAATACTGTTGACTGTGAGACATTTTATTTCCATAATGTCTGTAGGTTGCGTAACATGGACTAAGCTGGTTTACTACAGGACACTAAAAATAATATTGTGATAATGGAAATGTTTATCAGACGCTGGTAAAAGGATTCTGAATTCAGAGAGCCTAAATTAGATCATCTGCTACTTCAAAAAGTACCATAATATGTCAAAAATAAGCATTTTGTAGAAGTTGATGTCATTTTATAAAAACTGTTGTCTGGATAGTGTTAATTACAAAATGGAGAGATTAAATGGATTATGATGAAAAATAGGAATAATATCCTCATTTCAGATGCAGTGGATTTGTTACAGCTGCGAGTTGATGAAAGTATAAGCTTTTTTGTACTATTGAGTTATATCCCTGGTTTATTGAAGGGCGAAATATTTTTATTGTATTTTTTCCTGAGTTGTCTAAAATGGCGCTTTATAGGACTATAGAAGAGACTGATAGATGCTTGCTGAGCTCTGTAATTATTGTCAATAGGAGAGGTTACAATATTTACATCGCAGAGATTTTAAAGAGTGATGTCAAATTAGGAAGTGATGTCAATATTAACTTCTTTTGGTCCATTTTTGATGTAATTTATACAAAGAGGGCTCATACATATTGTATAGTAGATGGTGTATAAAAGACAGATGGCCTTTTTGTTTTCACCCTCATCGTTTATGTATTAGGTGTTTTGTGATTAAGATTTACTTTCAATATAAGTTATGTAAAACTGAGGGAAAAACTGCTGCAATTATGTGCATTAAGTAAAGATATCTTTTAAGAGAGTTGGTCTGTTCGTTTGTTTTTCCTTTAACACAACTGGTGGACCCTGGCTTGCTGCTTCATAAGTGTAAGTATGTTTTCCGGTTTAAAAAAAAAGAAGTCATAATGTAGGTCTCCCTTTTGCAGGCAAAACAGCCCTTACCTGGAGGCATGGACTCCACTGTGTATGTAGGAGAGGAGACGACCTCTGAGGTAATTCAGCTCCTGGTACAACTCTGTCAGGGCTCTGAAGTGGAGCAGACCCAGAACAACTGACAAAGTTACAGTGTGGCTGTGTTAAAACTGTAACTTAGCACAACATAACTGCGCTGTAATAACGTTATGCTTTATTAAATGTCACAAAATTATCAAAATAGATATTAGATATATGTCAGTCCAGTGACAAGACTATTGCTTGCGTGAAAATGAACGAATTACTCACTGAGACAACCCGTTCCTCCTGAGTCACATACAAGATTAGGTCAAATGAACGAAACTCTCTTTGAAGGACACAACACTAATTCGATTACATAGATGCGTATCACCTTTCTAAAATTGTAATTGGTTAAGAAGTGGGCCTAACAGGCAGAGCAGATCAGAGTTACAGGTCAGCCTGCTGCTTCCATTGTATGTTTTCATCTGGAGGTAACTTGGCAACAAGCTGCAGAAGACAGAAAAGTGTAATTTAATTAATCTACAGACTATCAGTAGCCTGGCTAGTTTATAATATGTTTGACACTCTGCTCCAAAGTTTTGTGTACTGTACTGTGTGTAAGAGCTATACCACACTGCAGATAACAACAGGTTAGCACCACCGCTAACAGCAAGCTAATGTCAAACGGACACTGTCCCACTGACAGCGCATGACCTAATAAGCACCTTTGGCTTCGAGGGAGACCATCTTGTCACTGTTTTCATTTTCATCTTTCTGAGAGGATCGCAAAATATGAGAACAATGGGAGTCACCTGGAAGACTCTGTGAAACTGTGCTTAACGTTCACTGGCGATCCAATGAACAGGATAACAAACAGGTGGAGGAAAACAGCTATGAGCTCAGTTACAGTCGGATCATAATGTTTGTTAAACTCCGAAGAAAATGTTAAACAGCACTGCAGGGCTGCAACCAGTCGGCAGACTCTGAAAAACTTGAGAGTCTTCCAGAATCTTGCCTAGACTACAAATCTCTGCGCCGCCTTTCTCCTCAAGTGACCCCTCAGCTGTGGTGCGTGTGACAGCATCTTTTATCATCTTGACACTGTGCTGCTGGACCTTGCATGGGCCAAATTGTTGTGCTGGATCAATTAATATTAGGCCATGGATTGCGGTATATACTGGCGTTGTTCTTTCCATTTTTATTGCAGGATCTCTGTGGAAAGTGGCTATAGAAAGGGTCTAGATCCCTAAAACCGTGTCTGTGCGCGTTGTTGTTGACTTCAGTGGTGTTGAGCTCACTGCTGTTTGCTTATGGCCCGGTAGGCTCATTTGTTCCGAGCTTGGTATCGGCTTAAATATTGCATTCTTAATTTAGGTTTGTGACAGTGGTACTGTAATTTGTGTAAATAACCTCTCTCCCTAACTCTCTCTCTCTCTCTGGGTGGAGCCATGCTGCTTGTTGACATGTTAAAAACAGTAGCAAGAGAGAGTATTGTAGTTTTACTGGCATCTATGTTTTGAAACCATTTATATAAATTAATATGGTTCATAAATAATTGCACAACTCTTTACAGACACATAAAAATATTTATGCTCCTTGATGTTTGTAATCTTGAGTAGGCTTGTTCCCAGTAAATCTTTTGTTCTTTACAATCAGTGCACTCCTACAAAAGATGTAGTTGTTTTTTAAGGAAAAGGTCAAGTAGTGTATTTGAAGAACAATTGCCTAACACATACAGATACATAGCTCATTAAAATAGGATTTTTATGGAACTAAAAATTTTAACTGGACTGGTTTTAGTCTATGGACATTAGACAATTAGTATCATTAGTATCATCAAGTAAAAAAACAAAGTATATCAGTCTGTGATTATTCATATTTTAATGTAGTTTTCAATTAGTCTATATACTGTATAATAGAATCCTGAAATTCAGTTATGGCTATTGGTTTTAGTGTGCCACCCCAGGTTTTTCAGTGGCCCCATCTGGCCACCCCTAGGAAAATGTTCTGGGGGCACTGCTACCTGTGCTGAAAGTCAGGTCCATAAAGAAATGATTTTCCCAGTTTGGTGTGGGTGAACTTTACTGCCCTGCACAGAGCCCTGACTTCAACCCCACTGACCACATACGGGATACACTGCAACGCCCACTGTGAACTCTGTGCTATCGCCCAACAAATGTCTTCATCCTCACTAACGGTCTCATGGCTGAATGGGAGCAAATCCCTGCAGCCAGATTCTACGTATTGTTGTAAAACCTTGGAATTGTGGAGGCTGTTAAAGCAGGCTTGATCATCATTTTGGAAAGAGATGTTAAACAGTCACATATGGGAAGAGTGTCTCAAAATCCTTTGATTACAAAGAGGGGGGAAAAAAACAAGAGGAAGAAACTCACATATTTATCCAACCACAAAAAGTCAAATCAAAGTGAGATCACACACTGAAAACAGTCAAACCAAACATAGCTAGAGCTCTGAAAGAAAATTGACTGAGCCTCACCAAACTCTGTGATATCATCGCTCAGTCCACATGGTGGTGCACTTACTCTTTGCTAGTGCTGGGTCAACAAGGATTTCTGGTCCCAGCTCATGACAAAGGCACTAGATCAGGGTTCTGGCTCAAGTGGAATTTTCTCCTTGTATGATGTGTCAACAATGAGCTTGGCACAGAGACAAACCAAACCACTTTCTTTTTTCAATTTGCATCATTATTCAATCTCCAGAATGGTGTTACTAAAAATCCATTGGCACTTTTACACTGCACTTTCCAGAGATGATTGGTCTATCAAACAACACGGGTGAGACTGTGACCTCTTCTTCCTCTGATTTTCTGTTGATGCATTGTGATTTTGCCGCTCTTTCCTTTGTCTGTTTAGCCAAGCGCTTTTCCCAATTTAGGGCTTCGTCTTCCATAACAAGCAGCCTACACCTGGGTGTGTCCGATGGGGTTCATAGCATTGCTTCTTCCCCTGTCTGTCTTTATCATTAAGATACCTGTGGGATCAAAAACCCTGTTATGGTCCAGTGAGGAGATTTTAAGGCCTACACTGAGATACGTTTGAGGCCATGTTTGCCTTGAATGACAGATATCAGTTTACACGGTGGTTGCCACTTGCTCGTCTAACTCCATTTTTCTCGCTGTATCCTAGTTCCACATCACACACTAATTCCTGTTCAATATGCACACTGACTTCTAAAATAGTCACAATAGTCATAAGTGATTTTTGAGTGTGACGTTGATTCATGAAACGCTTGTAAAATAGAGAAACTTCTCACAACTGCAAAGAAAGAAAGAAAAAAAGCTGTGAAGACCCACTGTACACTCTCTGCTCAGCATCAAACAGTAGATGGATACAGTTAAGAGACTAGCTGGTCAACAAAGTGGAGCATTTATCAGCTAAAGAGACAGATATTTTCCTTAGGACCACCATCATCTGCCAGATTTCAAACAATGGCGAGACTTTAGATTGGATGGAAATTGATAATCTTGCTTGATTTTAGGAAAAAGGACGCACACTCCTGTCTATATCAGTGGTGCTGAGGTGGAGCAGGTGAACAGTTTCAGGTTCCTGGGAGTCAGAATCACAGAGAACAACGCTAACAAATTTACCATATCAACTGAAAAGGTGATGATATGAACATGTTGTTTTCACAACTTGTTTATGCTGGCCAAAAAATAAATTGTAAGTTTAAGCATTTCTTTTTAACATTAAATATTTATGAATGACTCATAGTGAAAAAAAAAAGCCATCTGAAAACTAACTTAATCTGTTGTATCAGGACTGTGTGGGTGTCTTTTGAGCAGATTTGATTGATTGATTTGATTTGATTGCTTGGCAACATGAAAAAACCTTAATTTAATTTAAATATTGTTAAATTCTGATGGGTGCAAATAAATACATGACATCGCCTTTTTCCAAGTAAGGCTCCTTCACTACAAATCAGTAAAATAAAAAAAGAAAATGGAAATCTTCCACATGAAATAACTATAACTGTTCTAAATTTAACAGGAGAATTTGTGTTCACGTAAGACCCCATTGCTTATAGTCAGAAAATAGGAGGTGGGGGTTTCGGACGCTCAATGTTTTTCCTGCAGTCTATAGTTGTCAGTGGCGTTCGAGTGTTTATCCACAGCTAATACAAAGATGAATGCGTAGAAAACACGTGCGGACTTTTCTAAACTCAACATAGTGTCGAGTCAGTCGATGTCAATTTCCCCGCTGAGGTCTCACTGTCGTTGACCCCCTGACAGCCTTAAATATTTCACTTTATCCCCAAGAACTGATGCTTTGGGGTACATGTTGAACACACAAGCACAATGGATCTCTTATTCTGTGTGTGTAACATGCAGAAAGTCATTTGTTAGACACAAAGACAGCTTGTTCAGTCTTTATCTTTCTCCCGCCCCTGCCGAGGACACAGTGGAGGTCAGTGAGCCCAGTTTGACATAAATAAAAGTGTGTGTGCCGGCAAATGCGTTTGGGGGGTGAGCAGGTAAATAAATGTTAGCAGCAACAAAGAAATTTATGTGCATAAATAAATGTGTAAAGTGAGGGCAAAGCTGCATGGCAACTGAGCTTCATGAACACTGCTGTAAGTCAAAAAACCTGGTCATGAATTTGGGAAAAAAGCAGTTCACGGTTGTAAAATCTAGATCTTTTTTTTTCTGTTAAATTATTGTAATACATTGTTGAATCAGTTTTGGGGTTAATTACATTTCAGGTATTCATTTAAAATACAAAATCAAAAACATCAACATAAGAATTGTAATATTTTTACACAACATTTGCTGCATATGAGTAAAATTAAACTGAAGTCAATGTAATAATAAAATAATATCGAATGGAAATACTGACAAACCTTCTAATACTA